GAATGAGTATAATGTAGTAAGTGTGGAGTGTGTGGAATGGCGGTGTGGTGACGTGCGTGAGAGAAGGAGAGATGGTTGGCAGTCCCCTGCACAAGGTTGGATAGGGCACCTGTTGCCCACTCTCCGGAGGCATGAATCGTCCGCTACATCGGATGGCCAGTTTCTACCCCCTCCACTCCATCACACTCATATCTTGACAACTCTCCTCCTAGTCATCATCAAGCTGCCTCTTCTCTCTCTCTCTCTCTTTCTCTATCTCTCTGTCTGTCTGTCTGTCTCTGCATATTCGCCACATCCGAAATTTCCAACTACACCCCCACTCTCTGTGCTCCATGCATACACCCGAACCAACCCACTTCAGCCAACAATCTCACACTCACTGTGAAGCCACGCTAGCTAGCACATGTGCACACGCAACACACCTATCGAAACACCGATCAATGTCACATATCACTAACAACGCTAACCAAAAACAATATCACAACACTTTCACTCCCTCATTCTCACACATCTAGAAGAGCCAGTCAGTCGTGTGAAAACCTCATACCACAATCAGTCGAGCATATTGCGAAACGCTGACTGGTTAGCATAACAAAGGACCTTCTATCCGATAACTTCGGATTCTATAGTTATTTGTCCACATTAGTTGAAGGATAATTGATATAAGCAACACCAATTTATTGACTTGCGTTAGCAAGTGATGCTGAGTGTCAGTCAGCAGCGAAGTGCAATTTCTACATGGTATCAATTGGGAGTGAGAAGAAATCCTTTGTCCTGTTAACAGTGACGGGTGAGTTATCAGATTCACATTATCTTCATCACTGTCATACCTTCCGGGTGTTCACGTGAAAATTAGCCTCGATCTTCGCCTGTAGAAATGCACAGGCGAACATTTCCGTCAGAAGCTAGTCAGCTCCTCTCACTCAGACTACACAACAAAGCCAGACTAAGCTAACCTGAAAAGCATACTCGGGGAAAAGCTCTCCTCGTCATCGTAGTCGCAATCGAAATCGAAATCCTCAAAATTACCAGATAACCTAAGAGATAGCGTCAATCACAAAGGCAGTCAGTGTT